AAACCAGCCGCATTATTAGCAAATACATGTTATACATATTATTATTATTTTTTGATAATCTATTTACTCCAGGGTTACTATAGTTCTGATTCCAAAATCATTTCACCCTATTATGTAAGCATTTAAAAAAAAAATCATTACAATTGGTTACGTAGTCTTAGAGAAGTCAATTCTTGGAGAATTGAAAAAAATTTTTTTTGAGAAATTTCAACAATTTTTGTTTAGTGTAAAAATTAACTTTAAAATTATGTCTAACCAATACTGACATAATTAATATATATTTATATATATAATTATGCCAGTATTGAACTTTCTGGTTAAACGTACTTCCGCGGTGCTCTGTGATAAGACATTAGGTCTTCTTGGAGCACCTAAGTAACAAAAAAAAAAAAAAAAACATTCATAAACATAATGCTGTGCAGGGGCGGGTCCAGCATTTTTTGGTCGTTGAGATAGCTAACTTCCAGACATGGAGCAAACTCTATACATTTATATGTTCATACTTATGTCAAATGATGATGCTTTGCAAAAATTTCGATGATTAGAGGCTGGGAACAAACAAGCCCTAAAACTTTTGCCCCCCTGCCCCAAACGTGAGAGCAACAATTTGGTGAAATATTTTTTGTACTATTCTTAACTAGATTTATATTCGCCGAAAAATTTTAATTTTTTTTTTTAAACAAACTAAATACTAATCTTTTTTTAATAGAATTAAATAAATATACAAGTAAAACAAAATGCTATAATATAAATTTATAAGAACTCAGATTCTTGCTTCAAGAGCATCCATCTTAAAATCAACACCGATTTCAAAATCATCTTTTTTAGTCCACGGTGTTCTTGAACCTCTTAAACAAAGAATAGTTGAGCGAAGTATCTCAAAAGATAACTTCGTTCTTAACCACGTCATAACAATTGAGTATTTTTCATTTTGTTTTTCCGCTAGCCTTCTAACAAACCGATGTCATTCTTTACCCAAACCTCCATTTGTACCAAACACTAGTGGTGTCAAACTGCCATGTTCGACTTCACGAACTCGTTCACCATACTCTCTTTTTTTTTACTTTTCGTGTTTTCTGAATATAGCAGCTATATCTAGATTTTTGTTGCTCATGGAATTCACATGCGTAACGTTTACGTCAAAAAATGCAGTCTATCCATTTCGCCAAAAACCATTTGCTTTGATATCCAAACGAGCTTCGTTACTTTTATTTGCTGTATGGAAATAAAAGTTCTCATTATCAAGTGGTATGAGGTGTGGTTCGGATTGAACATTTATGCACACTCTTTTAAGCAATGTGGTGAACAAATTTCTTATGTTATCATGACGACTTGAAATGAAGCCACCTTTCTTACACGACAATGCATGAGTTACATTGAAAGGTTCTCTGCATTCACAAATACAAGGGATATTTTTCAAGTCAAAATTTTAATGTAAGCAAAGTGCATCACGAAATTCCACTTTATTTAAAACAAAACCTTGGTTTTCTAGTGGTGAGGCGTTTAACCAAGTGCTTGCACATTCGCTTCTTGTTTGCTGTATGTTTCTTAACATGGAGTCTGGTTGCATTGAATCAACCGCAATTATTTTCCCTTTGCCATGCTTAAGGGGGAAACGCCCTCTAATTTTACCCAAAATTTGTAAAAAATATTTTTACTTATTTATGCATTTAAATGTATGCAGAATTAAAAATTGTTTGTATATATACTGATTTTTATCATTTAGGCCTTCAAGTTGTGTATTTTCTTAAGGTAACTTAAAAATTTAAACCCTAACAACGACCATAGCAACGGTGTAGCACCTTAATAAAAATCCTAATAACTAATGTATATTTTTAAATAGCTGCAGTTTGCTTCTTTAATCATGCTTGGTTTGGCTTCTTTACTCATCCAGCTAGCGAAAATAGTCTAGTTCATCAAGTTAAACTACAGTTTTTTTTTTATTCTGAAGCATTTAAAGTTGTCAACTTTCTTAATATTTTTTAAAAAATGAGTAAAGCCTGTAGAATAAAATCAAGAACAATAATTAAAAAAAAAGAGAAGAGGTTTCTTAGGGAAGAAATTTAACTGTCACGACAAAGAAAATACTGAAATAAGGTTGAATGATAACACTGCTGTAACAATTTTGACTGATTTAAATACTACAACTGTCAATAATAACTTTGTAAAAAACGAATCTGAGTTTTTTTTTAAAGAAGCTTTTCATCATTAAACGGTGTCTTTTCTGCATTATTAATAGACACTGAAAAAGTTTTAGATGTGGATCCAATGTGCAGGTTCTGCAAAGGTTGCTTTTTGAAGAAAGATCTTTTAAAAACAAACCCTACAGCCTATGCCCAATGAAAAAACTCTCACATTTGTAAAAATTGGTTGTCTTACAAATGCAGTTACAACAGTGGTTGTCTTACAGATGCAGTTATTGATCGTCTGCAAAATTTCTTTGGCATTGCTATAAGGCAAAATACTGGAAACTTAGCAGGTATGAAGGCAAGCGTATTGGCTACATTATTTCATATTGCATCTTCCAAAGCAAATAACTTGCACTTTCCTCACTGTCCTACCGGCATTAATAGTGCAGCCGTGGCGCAGTGGTTAGAGTTCTGGCTCAGAACCCAGAGGTCCGAGGTTCGATGCCAGCTCCAGCCCAACAAACGACATTGGTACGGAAGGAGGTGTGAACTTCCTGTTAAATGCTCACCCGCGGTGCTCTTTGATAAGACCGTAAGTAATATTAATTAATATTAATTAAAAAAATGTTAATTTGCTTCTTTCTCAGGTTCATAAAATTTTTAGTGAATGTTTATTAAATGGTGTAGAGTGTTTTAAGTTGAACAGTTTTTTTGTTTTTTTTTTTACACCTGCTGTTTATGCTGTTTTAATACTATATTATTGAATATTGAACTTTGACTTCAAAATGCCTAAATTTATATTTGTAAAAAAAAAATTCTGTTCAACTTAAAACACTCTTCTACTCTATGTAAACACCATATAAAAATTTCAACTAGGTTGGTTTTGTTCCTTACCCACAATATTGCCCGGCGTGAAACCTGTTTTTGCTGTTTTTTGGTACTTTTTTATGGTTTCGTATTGCAACAGGTTACCTTTTTATTTTTTTAAATACTTTTTTCTTATTTTTTTTTTTATATTTGCTATTGATTTGACAAATATTTTTTTTTGTAAAAATTGATATAAAAATCAGAGGGGGTTTCCCCCTTAAGTCAGTCAGTAGATAATATTTTTTCAAGATCTTCTTTTTAAAAATTTTAAATTTAAAAGTAAAATATTTTAGCGTTGAAAAATTATGACCACACAGGGCCGTCAGGAAGGGGAGGTGTCGGGGGTCCCCCCCCCCAAGCCGTCCTTTAAGCATTTGAGTTGGCACATGGAGCAAGTTTTGAACTATAGTTGGCAAATTGCAAATATTGAGGACCTTTTTTTTTTTTTTTTTGGTGTTTCTAGTTGGCAAAAAAAGCATATCCCCCCCCCCCATAGCCCTGTGAACACATAAAGTTTAAATCCCCCTCAATTTGAGAGGTTTGCTAATTTTTTATGGTCATAATTTTTGAACGCTTAGAAATAATACTATGAAACTTAAAATTTATCGAAGTTTTATTTGTTGGTGGATGAGAGTTTTTGTGCAGTTTTTAATTTGTTTTTTTTCCGGTGAGCAGGAACTGGGTTTTCTCAGCATTAAATTTTTTGCAGTTTTGTGTGTACATATTACATATATTATTCAGCTTTTGTAGGCCAGAAAGGGTGGAGGCTAAGGTGGTCTTCAAGAAATTTTAAAACTTATTTTAAAGAGTATTCTACAAGATTTTCCAAGTTGTACCAAAATCTCGATCACTATTATTAATCGCTTTTTTTTTGTTTGTTTATTTTACGTATTTATGGTATGAATTATTAAGATGATTCTATATTAATGCTAATATAATTGTAAACATTTACCTTATTTCTTAATTTATACTCTCGGAAAGAATTTTGCAAAGACATTGTAACGCGGTGCTTAGCGATTAGACTTAACTTGTCTTTTTGCTCCGGCCTTTTATTTTATTTGTAAATTTGTTAGATCATAGCAGGAACAACTCCATAACTAGCATTTGTTTTCTACAAAGTTTGATTTGTAGTCTTCATAAATGTTTGTTAAGTGTATAAGCGTTTTGAAAATAAAATATTTTTTAGTTTTAGCGCCATTGTATTTTTGTCAAGTTTTTTAAAATAATTTTTATTAAAAAAAAAGTTTCTCTTAGTGATAGTATTTCTGCATATTTTAAACATTTTGTTAAAAATCTTTTATGAAGTATCTTTATTGTGCTCTACCACCTCTAAGTAAAATTTATGGTTTACAAAATTAAAAAATGGGGGTATATTTTTCTATTTTTGAGTTAATTTAGTATACTTTTTTTAAAATTAAAAACATACTTTGTAGTCTAAAAAATTATAATTTTTGAATTAATTATAATTTAATTAATTCAAAAATTAATATTTGAATTTGGAAATTAAAGCTTGTTACTCTTTGCAATAGAGCTAATGAACTCATTAATTAAAAATTGTAATATGAAGAAATTCCTTAACTCTTTTTATACTTTGAAACGTTTTGCAATAGAGCTAATGAACTCATTAATTAAAAATTGTAATATGAAGAAATTCCTTAACTCTTTTTATACTTTAAAACGTTTTGCAATAGAGCTAATGAACTCATTAATTAAAAATTGTAATATGAAGAAATTCCTTAACTCTTTTTATACTTTGAAACGTTTTGCAATAGAGCTAATGAACTCATTAATTAAAAATTGTAATATGAAGAAATTCCTTAACTCTTTTTATACTTTAAAACGTTTTGAAGATTTTATGCTAATATGATATGTGAGATGTATATAATTTATAACTTTTATATGCACTATGTATGCAATTAATGTGTATAAATTATATATAGAGCTACAAATGCAACTACTATAATATATCAGTTGAGGGTTAAGCATAAATTTATGATACACCAACACACGTTTAAATTGTATTTTTTTAAATTTAAGACTTTTACAATTTAACTATCTGCAATAGTAACTTCAACTTCAACTCCAGGTTCAATACTTACAGAGGTGATTTGTTTCACAACTTCAGCTGGACTGTGTAAATCAATCAAACGCTTATGAATTCTCATTTCATAACGTGACCATGTTTTAGAACCTTCACCACAAGGTGTTTTTCTAGATGTAATACGAAGAACTTTAGTTGGAATACGAACAGGTCCTTTAACAACTAATTTTTTTTCCTTTGCTCCCCTGATTAATTCAGTACAAACTTTTTCTAAACTCTTTACATTTCGGCTGGTTAATGTAATTCGAATACGATGAATCTGAGCTTCCTCTTCAACTTGCTTTTCTTTAAGTGCAGACTAAAATATGAGTACAATATATTAACTTCACATATTGTATTAACTTCTACATACATTAAAACTGTTTTACTTTCAGTTACTCAGTAAAACCCCTAACTTTTGACTGACAAATAACAGGTCAAAAAACATTAACAAGCCCTGTAGCAATATGTTATTATTTAAGGGTCTGTTACATTATGTCACTATTAAAAATAAGATCACAAGAAACAGATACGCAAAATAATTAGTTAAAAAAAAAAGTTTCATAAACAGTGAACAATTTTTGTTATTATTAATTAAAAATTACATTTTATTATTTTTATCATTGATATAGAAAGTGTATGCTCATATTTCATAATAAATTTCTTTAACCTTCTACCGGTTTTCTCTGATTAAAGTTAAATTTACTTAAACATAACAAAAAATAGATTTAGATTTTTTTAGAACAATATTTAATTGTGAATATATAAACATTAGTATAAATATGTAAACATTAAACACAATTTAAAGTTTCAAAAAAAAAAGATCATAAAATGTCTACTAAATAAAACTTATATGACATGAAAATTATACAACATGCAAGTCACTTTAGTTTGATAAAGAACAACTTTTCTTAATTTCACCAAAATAATGATTCGTGTTAATTCTATATGTAACGGAGCTTCAATTAGTATCAAAAGTAGAAATAGCATGTTTCAGGTGCCCTAGGTACACCTCTCAATCCTGAAATGCATATTTATAATAGAAATAAATTATTTAAATATATTCAGTAATTCAAATTTTGAGGCCTTTTTTTTGTTGCTGTTGGTTAAGGTGTATATATAGTTAACAAATACTTTTGTGTCGGGCAATATAAATCACCATTATCCTTATCAGCTATGCAAGCAGTATTGCACTATTATTACTTTTTTTCAAATAAGTGTTATTTGACTTCTTTCAAATAAGTTTTAATTCAAATAAGTTTTGACTTTATTTCAAATTGACTATATTACAAATAAGTTTTAGTTTCAAATAAATTTAATTTAATTCAAATAAATTTCGTTTGAATTATAAGAAATAATAACTTATAATTTATATATAAGTTTTATATATAAATTTTGTTTGATACATGATGTGTTATTAAACCAATAACTTATATACTGTTTTATAGCATTTATCAGATGTAAAAATAATGTTTCCTTTTGTTTTAAAAATTTCACACTCTTAGTAGAAAGTATATATATATCGTAAACCAAATAAATAAAAGTATAATTATTTTACCATTTTGACTTTAAGGCCGACTTAAACCTCCAACAAAATTAAACTTTGAGTTAGGAGGAACAGCGGTGAGCCTTTCTCCTTGAAATGTAACTAAAAGAATGTAATGTGTCCAATATACTCATTTGGCGGAACATAATATAAAACCAAAGATGATGTTATTATGTTCAAAAACTAAAGACTCGTATTTTTGTTAATGTTCTTGGCATAAAAAAATTATTTAGCTTCACAATTTTCAAATAAAGTATTTAAATAAAATGTTAAATATTTGTTAAAAAAATATTTTTTATATTTTTTATTTAAAAAATAATTTGTTTTTGTTTTGCTATAAAAAATTTTTTTTTTATCGTAAATATATATATATATATATATATATATATATATATATATATATATATATATATATATATATATATATATATATATATATATATATATATATATATATGTATATATATATATATATATATATATATATATATATATATATATATATATATATATATATATATATATATATATATATATATATATATATATATATATATATATATATATATATATTAGGCGTCCCCAATCAGCGGTGGGGGCACAGCAATTTTAAAGAGCCTGTATGGAGCTTTTTTTTGGTAATACCTAGTTGAAATATTTTGAAGATTATGGGGCCTTTATAGCAGGCAAAGTCTTAGAGTATATCGTCAAAGTTAATTTTGCGCAACATTGAACAAAGCAACTGAAAATTGAACAAGTGCTATGAAAATGAAGAAATACATTATAATAAAAATTCAAGTTCAAGTTTGGTACAATCTTGAATGCTTAAAAAATTAAGCTGTGAATGAGCCAGTTTTTTCTATTTAGCTTTTTTTTAAAACAATTATCTTTTTTATGATTGAGGCAGATCATAAATTTTTTAATTTTTTAAGCATTCAAGATTGTACCAAACTTGAACGTGAATTTTTATTATAGTGTATTTCTTCATTTTCATAGCACATGTTCAATTTTCAGTTGCTTTGTTCAATTTTCAGTTGACTTAAATTTGTTAAAAAAAAATTTCTTGAGGACTTGTGGTGCTCCCAAACGCTTGGTGCCCAAGGCAAATGCCTTTTTTGCCTATTGGTTAATCCAGGCCTGGAGGGGGGGGTGCGCCTCCAACCAGAGTTGTTAATAAGCAAAAGTAGCAAGGCCAATACCAAGACCAAAAGTTACAAGGCCAAGGCCTACGCAAACATTTTCAAGACCAAAACTTCAATTTTTGCCTTACGTTAAGGCTAACTATTAACAAAACTGTAAGTAGCAAGTGCTGTGACAATAAAACCACATTTTGTAAAAATAGACCAAGGTTATGCGCAAAATTCAACAAAATCAATAAGAAAATATGTATTTTTTTTTAAGACCAAGACTAAAAAAATCAAGGCCAAGGCCAAAATTTTCAAGACCAAGACCACAGCCAAGTCCTTAATTTTTGGCCAGGCCAAGAACTAACAACTCTGCCTCCAACCCACTTTCAACGGCAATGTATATATATATATATATATATATATATATATATATATATATATATATATATATATATATATATATATATATATATATATATATATATATATATATATATATATCACTCGATTATAAAATTTATGAAGCAATTTATGAAGCTTGAATGGAACAGGAGCCTTGTGAACGGAACAGAAGCCTTGTATGCATTTTGAATGAGTCCAAAAAACTACATCAGGGGGCAGTAAGAGCGATAGCCCCTCTCCTTCCCCCAACTAAAACACTGGGGAAGGGGCGGACACTGCATTTAGCCCCCCCCCCCCCCCCATTTCCTAAACAGTTTTAAAAAATATTTATGATAGCAACAGCGGAATTATCATTTTCCAGTGTGCAATGACTTAATTACCATGGAAAAGTATATCTATAAAACTGTTTATAATACTGTCGTATACTAACTATTTTTTAAATGAATGTGTTCTGGCAAAAGATGACTAATCACGTTAAAAAGATGATTAATCACGTTGCGTGTTATTAAATTGAGCATTCTCATCTATTTTGCAGTATCATACAAAATTGAGGAACTTTTTTGTTTTTAATATATGTTTATTATAATTTGTATTAATGTTATCTTATATCATTAATATATATTATTATTATTATTGTTATTATTGTTATTATTGCTATTATTGCTATTATTGTTATTATTATTATTACTATTATCATTATTGTTGTTATTATTTTTATTAAACAATTGTTTTAGTTAAATAATATGGTTGTTTTTTTATTTTTTGTTATAAAAATAAGTTTATTATTTTGAGAGGTTTTCTTTTTTAAATACAAACTCTAATCAATTACTATAAATATCATAATTTTTTTAGTTTTTTAAATTCTTAGTTCTTAAATTTTGTTATTTTCTGTTACAAAGAAATCATTTGATTTTAACAACTTTTCAATTATCGTGACGCATGCATATATTATCAAAAATTCTTATATTAAATACTATATGCATAAAAAAGATAAAAAATTTAAAACTTTCTTAACTATTATATATATAAAAATATAATTTATGTAACTATATAAAATACTAAACTATGTAAAATTAATATTTACTTTTTTTTTTTCATTACGTTTATTTATAAATATTTATCGAAAAAACCTTATATAAGAATTCAAAATCTTCGAAAAAAAATAATTCTTTTAATTGTTAAAATTTAATTAACCGTTTCAAAATGCTTCGCCACATGAGCTACCCATAAATATATGATAGCTAAGGCAGCATTTCAGGCTGCATTAACACCAGTATATATCTGTAAAAACTCAAACTATACAAACTCATAAAAAAACTTCGGTAGCTAACATGGTAAACGTGGCATTCAAATCAGCTTTAGAAAGTATTGTAAAAATTGAGTAAAGTAACAGAATTAAGATCTGCCAGAATAGATTAACTAGGCGCTGAACTAAAGAAAAAAGACTAAACCACAGCTATTACTAAATCGTGAGTATAATAAATAAATAATAAAACAACGGCATCAGTTAGTCAATGTTGCAACAGCTGAAAAAAAAAAACCCGTCAAAATCGAGAGACCAACGTGGTTATTGTTAGTTTACTGCAAATAAATAAAAACGAAAATGAAATTTTTTTTTTGGATATCAACTCAAGTAAAAAAAATACTACATTCAATTTAAATATGGTTATTTTCCTTAAAATTTCAATATTAAATACAATCATTTCACTTAAAAACGAAAATGTTTATGCAGTTTTACCACTCAAGTATAATCGCCACGAAGCCACAAATTATCACGGAGTTTTTATGTCATGAAAAGAGAATATCTGATCAACAGGCTGAGTTTTATGAAAAAAAAAAACAAGTTTAAAAAAAGAAACAACAAATTAACTGAATCATTTCTTATAGATAAACCGTTTTGGTAGGCGCCACTTTGTCAGATCATCAATTTGCGCATAATCTCGAAGATCATTTTACTTTTATTTTAGTGGTTAATTTATCCATCATTCTACAATGCAAACAGCAAATACAAAAGTTTAATAGATTAATACTGACTTGAATAATTCAACTACATATACAACATTTTGCATTGCTACCTCCACTTTGCAATGCCACTAACCAAGATCACTTGTCTATTGAATGGCATCTGGCTACAGCTAAAACAATAAAAAGTCTTGCAAAAAATAAAAAAAAGCAATTAAGCGCTCTGCATAATTTTAATGGAGATACAATCACTTCAGGTCCCGATATAATAACATATTAAACTTATATTTTTATATCTGTTTCTGTGAATGAAGGTTTCCAATACTGAAATTTAGAAATCAAACTTCAAGTTTAGTTTCAGATTCTTACGTTCATATAGAAAAAGTTATTGCTAGTCTTAGCAAACTAAACAATATGAAGCTCCAGGTGCAGATGGTGTGTAATTGCTAACATCACGCCCTTGTACAAAACCAGAAGTTGATAAAATAGAGCCAAATACCTTCCGGTTTTACCCGCATTTGTTCTGTGCAAAATCTTGAAACGAATTATCCGGGCCACAATTTTATATTAAATTTACAATCATAAGCCAGAACGTATCATTGCATAATAACAACAAGACTTTTTTTTGGAATAAACCTATTCCTAAAAAATCTTCAGCAACCTTTTGAAGTCCATAGATCATAATTGACATATAAGCAATGGGTCGGTATAACTTTTCTTGACTTTGCTTTGGCTATTAACACTGTGCTGCATCAACGTTGTTGCGCTAAACAAACAATAAACTACTGCTATACTTAAAAAAGTATAATATGGATAAACTGTTAAAGTTCTCCTTGGGGAATATGTATTATAAATGCTGTAATTATTAGTGTATTGTTATCTTGCATTCAATGACCAAACATCAACGGACTCGAGCATTCTACTCTACTACATCTAAATTGAACTCGTTTTAATTACATCTAATTGAACTCTACTACTTTTAAATTTTTTTTTATTTTTTATTTTAATTCACCTCCTCAAGGCCGAGAAGGCCACTACAGACGAGGAGGCTACTTATTTGTGGCTATAACCCTCTCTCAACTCTATAACTCCGAAACACGAACCTTGATGAACAAGGCCGCTGCGCGGAGAAACGAGTTGAGCGCGGTACTACCAGGGACGTGGCGAGGATCGAAATCCGAACCACTCGTTTATGAAGCGAGCGCTCTATCACTACACCACTACCACAAATTGAATTCCACTCTTGCGTAAAGTTTAAATGGAGACCGAGGAGAGAATGAATTAAAGTAATCAAAGAATAAATAAACTCTATAACAGAATTATTAAGTTGAATTAAAGGAGCCCACAAATCAAAATCAAGAAATATAAAAGAGGAGTCAAGGGATTAATAAAGCAGCAAGGTAAATTTTTTGTTTTAAAAGAAATTTGTTTTAAATTATAGGTCAAGTAATTGATGTATTAATTACGCTGTAACCTTTTGGATCGTTTGTCGATCGTTTGTCGATCGTTTGTCGATCGTTTGTTGATCGTTTACTACACATTATTTTTATAATATTATAATATCATTGTTCCTAATTTATTATAGTGTTTGTATCTAAACGAACTTTGAAAATTTTGTTTGTATGATAAAATTAAGTAGGAGTTTGATATAAAAGATTTTGTTTTGCAATATTATATT